TTTCATCCAGTCCAACGCCACCCATCTAATACCATACCTTTCCAATTTATCAATTAATATGTGATTGGCAAGTGTGTCAACAGCTTTCTTCAAGTCAATAAAGACTCCATGTGCATACTTTCTTTGACTGATACAATGTGTGATTTCTTCATTTAGTTCAATTAATGCATTAAACCATGTCAACTCTCTATTAATATTTTGTGTTCATTTAAATATTTATCCAGTCTATCAATAAAGTATTTCACTAGTGTTTGGGTGAATCGTGAGTGTAGAGAAACAGGCCTATTCATTTTGTTTGGAAATGTACCGCCTTATAATGACAGATTGCAGATGAAGGTCGGAGGTTTTTAAAATCACTCAATTACATTTTTAACAGTTTTCATATCAATATCATTTCAGTTAGTTGAGATTTTGTCCTGACATCTCTCTACAACATCAATTATTGTATTTTCCTCTTGTGCTGTTAGAAACATTTAATTAGGATTTTTATTCTTCTATTTGCTCCTCTGCTCTTTCTCAAAGCAGTAATTTTATCAGCTAGGTCTGGTCTGAAACTTACAAAGAATTTATTAAAATCATCATTCACATTTCTTTAGGTCTGCACTTTATAAATTTTCTGTACAGGATATATTTCTTTTTACTGGCGGTTTGCAATATCTTTGGGATCCATGGACTATCTATATAATCCATTTTTTTGTTTTTGTTTTTGTTTGATGATGTAGAAGAATTTGTTCAAAACAGGTACATAAATGCCATAAATGTAAGCAAACAGAAAAAAGGCCTGACTGTGGCCCAGTCTTAAATACACACAGCAGGGTGACTGGGGCACAATGGAGACACGTGAGATACACAGTTGAAAATAATCAGGGAAAAGAAGACAGTGGAAGAGAAACTAAACACAACACAAACGAGATAAGAAACCATCAAAATAAAACCAGAAATAACTAAATCATAAGAACAACTTGCACAGACTTAGACTTTATGAGATATGGGAGAAACAGGATGAGCGGAAATATAACTCACAAAATCAAAAGTGCCAGGATCATGATATTTCTCTAGGGCTGGAACACATACTGTGTCATTTTGCATTAGTAAACTGTTTATAAAGCTACTCATCAATGCCACCATTCTCACCTGTTTGTAGATTGTTTTGTTGTCCTGCTTTCCCTTCCTGTAATTACTGTAAAACTATAAAAACTGGAAGGTGGCTGTTATTGATTAACATCCCAATCATTATTTTATTGTTGGTGTCATTAGTAAATATATTAACT